CTGTAAAAATAACAATATTTTTGCAGATTTAAGTGCAGTAAAAATAAATGTAATCTTGTAGGTTCTGGCTTGTGTTTTTATAGTACACATGTCAATTTAATATCTCAGGAAACATCAGTAAAATGATAGTTTAAAAATGACTTTCCATTTCCAGTTTTTAATATAATTCCAAATTTAAAATTTTTCTTTCAAGCCACCACAAATATCTGGAACAATAATTATATTTTGGCTGCTTTAAATAGTACAACTTTACATGTTGTATAAGAATGAATTGTTATTTCTGGGGGAAAAAAGCTCAAAAAGAAAAAGAGGATATGCATAGTTTTAGCTGTTTTTTTTTTTTTTTAACCTTTAGCATGTAAATCATTTTTTAATTTTTTTTTTAATTTAGAATTTTAAAGAATGGGGAACATCTGTAAAGTTACAGATTTTTTTGTTATTGCAGATTTTAAGTGCAGTAAAATAGTTTAATCTTATAGGTTATATTAATATTTCTTCTTCGTCTGTAAAATGATGGTTTAAAAATCATTTCCAGTTTTTAATAGAATTCAAAGTTTTGAATCATAATTTGTGTTTCAAGCAACCATAAATATCTGTTTTTTTAAAAAAAAAAAACACACATATTAATTGTTAGTTTAAATACAGTACAGATGTTGTCATATTGTAATCAAATGCTATAAAAAATCTGATTATGATTTATGAAAGTGCAAATTTTAGTGTGAGCATTATTCACATACTGAGCTTGTTTGCCTTTGCTTAGGGTTAACATATTTATCATCCTTTCTTTCTGGATTTTACCAGGTGCTATCTGTAATTTAACAAAACTGATAAATACTGTTGAAAAATATTCATCTTTTTACAGAGTAAGTTTATTTTTTTGTTGTTTAATTATAATTGCTATTCATTTTGATATTCAAAATCCAAAAATATACTAATTATTTTGAGTTTAACAGTTGTTTAGGGTCAAATAAATGCCCAAAAGGATGTTAGCATGGTATTGCTATATCCTAAAAATGATATCCATGTCCTCGTTTACACCCATTTGTTCCTTTTTACCAAATACAGTAAACTATTTATTAGCATTCTGTCAAGATGACACTCTTTAATTTGAATCTTCTATTTCGTTTCCGTCGTACATAAACAGGAAATTGAATATGTTTGGGTTGTGGACAAAACAAGACATCTGAGGACTTCATTGTGGGCTCCAAGAAACACTGATCTACAGTTTTACATTTTGCAGAATCAGTTAATCAAAAAAAAAATGTATCAGCAGATCAATCAACAGTGAAAATAATCTTCATTTGTGGTCAAACATCTGGTTCACTTCAGTTAATCTGCTTTTGATTAAACTATAACAATCTTCTATCATGTAACCAGATGATTATTTTTCTAAACTAATGCTCTCTTTTCTGTTTCTCCTTGTCGCTGACCCGTCGACACCATCTGGGGCTGCCTGTGTCTGACCTTCTCCACTCATACGACGTGAGTATCAAATATCTTTAAAGCTGAATGAACGGCAGACTTTAAGCTGTTTCCAAAGTAATAATGAGTTGGAACTATTGCATAGAAGGACGGTTTTCGGTTGTTACCGTACTGAGTAGAGCTTAGGGTTGAGTGAATAACTGATTTCAAACCTAAATCGCAATTCCAGAAAACGCAATTAGAAAATCGTAAAGGCTGCAGTTTAAGCAGCACGTCTGATGCAGGGTTTAAACTCTCGTGTGGGTTGTTGTTCAACTTCCTGCGGTCCCAGTGACGCTCCATCACATGTTTAGCGAACATTGAAATGCAGCTCGACTGTAAAACAATATATTTCAAATCAAATTGCAATAACTGTTAGAAAAATCACAGCCATCTCCCCCAAATGGTCCCCAATCCTATCAGAGCTGGAACGATTGATCCATTAGTTCTCCATTATTCCAGTAACTGTCGACTATATTGATCATTTATTAATTAGTTTGTGTTATTTTCTAAATGAAAAAGTCCAAATTCTCCCATTTCAGCTTCTTAAAGTCAAACATATTCTGCTTTCATCACTCCTCTACGATGACAAACTCAACATCAACACATCTGAAGACGCCATCTTGGCCTTTGATCGACGTTTTTCTCCGTTTTCTGACATTTTATAGCCAAATAAACACATTAATCAACAATGGAAATAACTGCCAGGTGCAGTCCAACCCTAACCCTTGTGCTTTACTAATGACTGCAAGCGCTATTTGCATCTCCATGAAGGCACCACTGTATGATTTAAAGGCGATGCAGAGTGTAATTAAACGGCCCTGCTCAGCTGCAGAGATTCATTTATATTTATGAAACATTTCTTTCACGTTGGAACTCGTCAATCTTCCTGGAGGTGATTAAATATTCATTCTTGATTAAATCTATTAGATGGGACTCTCCCTCAGGGATCTGACTGCAGACTTTTTCAAAACTCCTTCAGTATTTTCTACCTGGTTAGAATACTGCCGTGAATATTTACCGGTGAAAAAGTGAGCACCAGTTCCCAACCTTTTTTTTAAACTATTTCTTCATATCTGAGGAAATAAGAATGTTGTGTTTTTATTGCACACATTCTTGCATATGTTCCTTTTTTTTAACATCCAACCTGAGAGCTTGTTGCAGGACGTGTTGCGGTTTTTGTCGAGCTGCTGACTGGTTTTTGGGAGGTGTCTCCCCTCGTCATCTGCACCCGCACACGTCTTTATCTCTGGCGAACACATGCTCTGCTGCTGCATCTGTGGTAAAGGAGAGTGGAATTGGCGGGGATTCCCTCTATCTCAGCACAAAGTATTCATGTTAGAGGTTTGATCTTTCACCTTGCGAGACTTTGGAAATACCTCGATTCCACAGCTTTGGAATATCAAAAGAACAGACGTGTAACTATGCTGCACTTTTTTGTATCCCCACAGTCTGATAAGAGGGAGAAGTATTTCGCCAGCTTTTACACCACTCACCGTCTCCACCAGGTGGCGGTGTCAACCAGCACAACTGGGTCATTTACACATCGGATGATCAGACACATTGTAGCGTGCACTTAGTTGGCCTAGAATTCCTGCCTGCCACTGTGTGCTCAGCGCGCTGTGAGCCTCGGGGGCCGGGCGAAAGAGCGTTTTGAATCTCGGATGACATCCAAGTGCATGCATATTCATAGGTGCTTTTGCAATGTGACTCATTGTTCTGCATTGTCTGGGCATGCAAACTGCACTTTTCAATAAAAATAGCTGCACAAAATCTATTTTTGGGAGGCTGCTCTGTCTTATCCTCTGCATTGAGCTGTAGTAAGAAGATGCACTAAATGTACCACCCTATGTTCTGTGTAGTTTAAGGTGGGCGATAATTCAAACTTTAAAGTGTAAGGAGGGTCTGCTTGGCAGAAAAAAAGGGCGGAAACACGGAACATTCCTGCTTCATAAATTCTTCATAACATAATGGTGCACTATGAATATTGATGCACTGTTACCATCTATCCCGTTAGTGCTCTTGAGAGCTCAGATCCGGGGCACAAATACACAAAAAAACAACAAAAACCCATGCAGCAACACGCACTCGAATTTCATTTTTAAAGCATTTTTTCTTAACTATATTTTTTATTTCGAGCTCTTGTTTTACATAAGATACGGAGGGGAGTCAGAGAGAGAGATGAATCGGGTGGAAGTGGAAGTGGTATGGGGCGTTATGTAATCACTGAGCGATGGAGCCAGAGAGGGATAAAGATGTTCCAAACAAACATAACCTCCCCCCCTCACCCCACACACACACACACACACACACACACACACACCACACCATGCACTCAGCTGGAGTAATGCACTGCAGCATCGTATGTTTGCTTTTGAACAAATGAGTGGATGTCAGGGTTGCTTTTAGGGTGTGTCTGCTTGTGCCGAGTGGGCTCGTCTCGGAGTCTGTGGTTCCAGGCTGTCACCGTCTCCAGGGACCGGGGCTCTGTGTTTGCTGCTCCTTTTTTTCCCCTTCTCTCTCCTGCCTCTCCTCCCTCTCTCCTGGGTCCAGCTCAACACCTGCTCCTTGCAGTATAGGGCCGGGGCAGGGGTTCCTAAGCAACTGAACGCCAGGAGTTCATATAGCCTTTTGTTTTCCCTCTCACACTCCTTCTATCCAAAATTGAGGCAAACAAAACTGCACAGATCAATCCTGTTAATGCATTAGGTTGGAGTAAATGTTTAACACCACCAGCTGGCGCGCTGTGCCGCCTCTTTGGGTGTTTGTGATCAAAGTCTAAAAACTCCACTGTCACTGTGCTGGAGAGGAAGGCGTCCCGCGTGTTTCTTGCTCAGCGGATTCAAACTGGTAAGACTTTTTTTTTCTCTCCTTCCCATTCATGGCAAATAACCAGCCCCAGACTTGGTGATGTGAACTTGTGAGACAAAAGGTGACGCACGGTGCCTTCATGGTTACCCCTTGTGGTTAAGAGAATAATGAACCTCTTTACATCCTGGACCCCCTCCTCCTCCTCCTCATGTGCCTATGAGCCGTATGTCCCTAATGGGGTCAGGCAGATGGGTGGGGACCATGCCGGGGTCCATAAGGACAGCTTGTGCGATTAGACCTATATGTGTGTTACACTTCCAGCTCTTTCTGCGTCTCACCGCTCGCTGGTTGGGCAAAAGGGGAACATTCCTTTCAGCTCCCACTTAGTTAATGATTGATTTGTGCAATCAAAGTCAATGCATGTTATAGTTGTGTGGAAAACAAAAACACTGATACCAAATCTGTCTGCAGAAGCTTTAGATTTTTTTTTTCTCCATATTTAACGTGCGTAAAAACTCCACACGAGCAGCAATTGCATGAAACTTGCGCGTCCTCCACCTTGCTGCTTTGGTGCTGCTCCAAACTCCAGCTTCCCCCGGAGCCTCTGCGCTCAGACTCCACCCCTTTTACGAGCATCGGACACCTTCAAGCACAACAAAGCATGTGTCGCTCCGCAACATTGTTTCTGCTGTGAACGTGCGCAAATTCTAAGGATTGTACCCGCAGGATTTTCTCTTATTTTTTTGGTGCTATTTTTCCTTCCCTCTTCTTTGATGCTGATCCTAGAGTAGGTAAGCGTTTCCGTTTCTCCGGGGCGGTGGTAGTTTTTTTTTTTTTTTTTACTGTTTGTTTGTTTTGTTGTACATTCGGCGCCATTTTCATACACAGAGTGTTTAAATGCCCTGGCACGTTGGTCCGATGCAGCCACTCACCGCTTTTTGAATTGCAAGGTGGAGGAAAAAAAAAAAGTTTGAATTTTTGGTGATTTTTATTTTTTTTTAGGTTTTAAACGATGATTTGTTGAAGGAAATGAAATCACATCGCGGGTATGTGTGACTCTGCAGCATCCTAATGAATCAAAAGTGCAGGATATTCGCGGATGTTGCCATGTGTTGTTGTTGTTTGTTTTTCCAACTTATTTTTGTAAACAAAATAATAAACGAACATTGCAAGATATCAAACCGAGGGCGCATTTTGGACATTTTATTGTGAAAATTTCTGTGTGTTTTCTCAACATTGCACGCTTTTATTGTTAATTTTTGAATATATTCATTCATATTATGTTGATAAAATGGCTTTTAAAATGTGCTAAATGGTGATGAATCATAAATAAGCAGGGAAATCAACTGTATTTTCTGTTCATGCTTTCTATCCGGCTCATCTTGACTCATGCAGAGATCTGATTCCAGTCAGTAGGATGCATTAAACTGGCTTTATTGTCATATATTTGCATCCTATATGTGAAACAGTTATTGCGTCTCCTCATGATGTTGTGTTTTTTCTCGCTGGCTCTGCTTTAGATGTCCTTTTTCTGCTTGACATGACTTGGTTTCAACCCCCAACGATGAGTGTACAGGGGGGTTTAAAAATACCCATCTTCGCCTGGGAGGGGAGGCATATGTGTGCCGTCCCTCCTGGACCCACAACGCACTTAAGAAAAACTCATCCAATAAGCCTCCTGTCCATTGATGATACTGCTGAATATATATAGTCAGATAATCTTTTATTAAGCGCTGCAGATATGACGTAGGGAGGATGAGAGGGAAGAGAGAGGCGGCATTAAGTGCACGCAGCCTCGAACTGGCAGGTGCTGAACAGAAGTAAACGCAGAAGGTTCAAACATGACACGAGATAAGACCCTGCGAGTGCTCGTCGGGTTTTCTCCTGTGCTGCTGAATCAGCAGTGCTGTGAGCTACCGGGGTGATGTTGAAGGATGTTTTTTTTGGCTCTGCTGTGTGAGAGTGAGGTCACCGAGGTCCCAGAAGAGCTTGCTGGTGTTAATCCTCTTTTGGGAGTTATGATGCATCCGTGCAGTTAGACTACTACTCTGTTGTGTGAGCGTTGCTAAATAGGGAGCAGGCTGCACACCCTTGAGTGTCATTTGCTCTTTTCTCCATGAATGAGGAGCGTGCATTTGAAATCTCATTGACTCTCGAGTGTAGAAATTGAAGCAACAACACAGCACTTTATTCACATCTTGATCTTGGTTCTGTGTGCCCACCATACAAACGAACATTTCTTCCACAATGTCCATTAACGCGCCGCTCCTTCAGCAGACTGTGGCTGAGGTGATGTTGGAAATGGATTCGAAATGGCTTTCAGGGCGACCACAGTAAATCAATCATGCTACTTCATTCTTTTCCCATGTCGGTTCATGTTACAGCATGAGGCTCACAGACCATCTGTGCGTATTGATTAGTTTAGAAGTGGGCTCGGGGTTGGTTTACCCAGAGAATTAGGCTAAAATAAACCTCTGTAGCCTAACACCCTTTGTTCGAGCAGTTACTCAAGAGATTTGGTGTCCAAAGAAATCAATGATTACCAGGTTTAAGCAGAAGTTTGATAATTTTTTAATTTGCTCCATAATCTTGAAAGCACACACCTCCAGATCATTTACAAATATCCTTGTAACGGCTCACCGGACGCCCACTGGTGTTGCATTCCCGATGTTGCCGGGCAGGTCGGTGTGCTGACCGGACATATGAACAGTTTAGCGAAGGCACGTGTTAGCGTGTATGTTGGCATGTGTGTGTGTGTTTACTCAGAGAGGTTAAGAGGAGCCACCATGTGGCCAGAGGACTGATATCTTGGCCTTTCCGTTCATTTCTGTTGATTTTCAGCCAGGTAGGCGGGGCTCCACATAAAACCATGAATCAGCACAGCGGATCACCACAGAGCTCCTCTTCTTTCTCTCTCCCACACACAGATGGATGCTCACGCAGGACTGAGAAACAGAGAATCAGAGTGGAGGGAGACAGTGAGATGGACACTGTAGGCAGGTAGATGGAGATAATCTCACTTGGTCACTTGGGGGCTGATTAACTCTAAACTCCTTCTAATTCCTTAAGCCTACTCTCAGTGCCCAGGAAACATGCTTTCTTTATGTCCTCGTATTCATCCAATGTAACAGTTATTTCAGAACTCATCCTCCTTTCAGTCAGCTGCCAGTGTTGATAGTAAACCGGCAGTTTGTTCTTGCAAAACAAATCAAATCTTCCTCCGCTGTGGTATAAAAGTAGGTTAAAACCGCAGCATGTGTGCACACATGTATGCACATGTGCATATGTGCGTTGTGTGCAGTGAACAGAAATAGATATGAGCTTGTCCGTAAAGGCCAACTAATGAGTCCTTGCATCTTGCGCACATGTAGCTATTTATATGTGATACATCCTCCTCCTCCATCGCTGCAAGCTCTTCTTCATTTAAAGACACGCAGAGCGGCAACATCACTGGAAAAAAATATGAAGCATTTGATAGAAAAATTCCTGGAAATGTGTTTTAAAAATTTAGTGAGAAATTACAACGAGTTTTGGTCTCGGTAGCAATTAAGTCACTGGGTTATTATGGGTTCAGACTTGCATAATTCTAATGAGATCGGTGAATAAATTGGAGCGCGCATAACATTAAATCTCCCGCAGTTAACTAAACGATCCGTTCCCGTTAAATAAAACTCACCAAATAGAACCGAGTCTCTTGCGGGAACATTTTAAATTCAATTAATAGCAATAGAAATTCTAAGTAAGATCTTTATTCACCTCCACTCCTGGTGTGTTTGCACCTGATCCGGCAGCTCTTTGTGAGCTCCGTCTTGCCAGAGGGTGGCCTACTTCATCTATAATTTAGCTCATTACTGACACTAATTATGTGCTATCGAGGGCAGATTTTTAAAAATGTATTTATCTTTAAAAACAGTGCAGGAATATTTCATCACCAAAGACGAGGAAATTCCTATTAATTGGCGCTGTTTGGGTCTGAGTTGGTCGGGTCGGCCCTGCTCAGCTGGCTGACAGCAGAGATGTTAGACGGCCGACACAAAATGGAGGAGGCAGCAGACACAAGCTCAGCTGGTCCATTAGGAGTATGTCTGTTTCCTGACAATCAGAATTGAGATGACGGAGCATTAAAAGACCCAGAGGAGCCCGTGAGCACTGATGCATACCGGTGTGTATGTGTGTGTGGTGACCTAGGGAATAGGCCCTATGGGGGGTCTCGTGGGGGGAAGGGTAGGCAGGATTAGTAATAGTGTGCGGCCCAGTTATTGGTCACTGGACACAAACAATGGGAGGGCTAAAGAGGATTTGGTCTGTTGGTGTGTACCCCCCACCCTCCTCCCTCCCCTCCTGCTGTCCTGTAGTGCCACTGGGAAGTCGGATGGTATATGTAGATGTACCGGGCTGCACCCTTTGGGGCGTCCCGGTACATCTGGAAGATCGGCCTGTCTGCCTGTCTAGCATTTGCCCCTCCCCTCCCCCCATCCTCTTCACCGCCACTCCATACAGAGTAGGATGGGACTTGAACTACATATGGACGGAGACAAACACAAGCCACATTAGTCACCAATTAGACGAGACCCGGTTCAGACAGTCTGACTACAGAATCGATGGCGATGTGAGCTGCTGTAACTGATACATCTCGCTTAGAAGAGGTGTGATGGTTGCGTAATACCTGCGGCGTATTTTAGTCCGTTGTGTGATTTAATCAGCTGGTTTGAAGTTTCTAAATATACCAGATCTGCCCTCTCGCTGCCACGCCGGCGAATCAAAGCGGTGCTCATTAAAGGCCTGCGTGCTGCGAATCACATCATCAGATGATAGCAATTTGTGCAAGTGTGCTCGCTCAGCAGGCTTTGTATTATCCGTCACTTTAGCTTAAAAACCTTAACAAACGCCTTTTTTCAATCTTGTAAATGAAAAGCAGCCGGTTTAATTATCAGATGGGTGACAAGTTAAAGGAGAAAAAAGCAAACCAAAGTGGTGGGCCAGAATGCTTTTAGTGCACCGTTGCACCGTTGATTCGTCAAAATCTGTGAAAGTCTACTCTGGATGTTTTCTCATTTGGAGTTTTAAAGATGATGATCACATCCCAAATCTCCCATATTTATTTCACTGGGTTGGGCTGTTTGAAAAGCAAAAGCTGAATATGAATGACAAACCATTCGGTGACATTTTCATCCACATACCTGCTTATTTTTCTTCCTTTTTTAAATATTTTTATTGCTATACTGTATTTACACTTTATAATACTGCATCATCTCTTTGCACTTCAGCTTGGTTCATTCACCAGCATGATTTGCACCTTATTTTCTTGCATATAAAACGTGTGAGCTACTGGAAACCTTGAGTGAGGGATGAATAAAGTATCTCTGTATCCGCTCCTGTCAGGAGAGAAATGTTTCGTCGTAGGGTAAAGGTGATCCCTCAGAAACTTGGTATTGATTTGCAGTGACCCCTCTTTGTAAGGGGTCAAGCTCTGCTAGCAAAATGCCTCCAGCAGCATGATGGAACCGCCGGATCCCCTCACTGTCGGAGTGACAGGGTTTCCTTTTGTCAGCCGTCTGTATACAGCAATAGTGGTCTACTATGTGCATTTAGTCATTATGAGTTGGCTGGAAAGCTTAGAACTTGCATATTCAGGAATAAATCTGAGCAGTTAAAATGCCATTTTTGTCTTTTTATGGTGTGTATATATATCGGCATGTAGCTGCAGTGCCTTACATGACCTGTGCAGGATGGGCGTGTGTGAGACGAAGAGCCGGCCGTGCTCGGCGAAGGGATGATCCCGGCGCCGCTAATAGGCCGATCCAGAGCAGAATGCTTCCTTTGTGTCAGTGAGATTTAATGAGCCTGTGATAAGCAGTGTTGCGAGCTCCACGCAGACACAGACACACTCTGCAACAAGGAAGCCTATTGTGTGATGCAACAGTGTTTGTGTGTGTGTGTGTGTTTGAGTTGGTGTACAGTCTGTGGGTGGCGGCTGGCTTCATGTTTTTAGGGAATTAAGTCTCTGTGGACAATACATTTAAGAAAGAGTGATCATTATTTAGTGTGCATATAGATTACCCTCTTTGTGTGTCTATTCATTGGGAAATTATTAGAACAAATGGAGGCTTTTTCTGTTATAATGCAGCATTTAACTAAGCAAAATGTTGATTTCTTGTTTGTAGAGTTGCAAATAATATAATTTTTTTTAATATAATGTGATCTGCCAGTTATTTTGAGTAAAAGTTTATGCTTATGAAATTGTATTTATCACTATTTCTCAGGAGTTAGAGTCCTAAAACAGCTCTGTTTATCCTGATTGTTGGTCCAAACCTGTGTGTGCATGCATGTGGACAGTAACACGCGTTACTTACTGGATCAGTTAGTCGTGTCAGTCACTTATAATTAAGTTCTCGCTCGACGTTTGCTCGCCATTCACAGCAAAGTCAAGTGTAAGTTTCCCCACACACACACGGGCTGATAGTCACACTGCTCCTAATCTTGTTTGTAGTGTTCCAAGTATAGCCACGAAGTGCACCGTCGCACTCCGCACAGCGCCGCGACCTTTTTCTCCATCTCTGACTCCCTTCTGTTCTCCTTCCCAGTGGCTACCATGACAACAGAGGCGAGTGCAGTGAGCGAGGCGGACACTGAAGGCAAGCAGAAGGCCAGCGGCGCCGAGCCCGAACCCGAACCGGAGAGCAAGCAGAAGTCGGAGGCGGCGGCGTCCGAGCCGGAGGGCGAGCAGTCGAGCAAGAAGGCCCAGGAGCAGGCCTCTGAGCCTGGGCCCGCGGACCTAGCTACCTCCCCCGAGGAGGAGCAGCTGAAGCCTCGCACCAGGACTTCAGCCGGCAAGGGCCTGTCTCGGCTCTTCTCCAACTTCCTCAAGCGCCGCTCGCAGTGCTCCGAGGGAGAGGGGTTCGAGGCGGAGAAAGCCCGAGAGGAGAAGGCGGACAAAGAGGAAAAGGCTGACAAGGCAGAAGAGGTGAAGGTGGAAGAAGTGAAGAGTGAAGAAGAGGAGGCTAAAGCGGAGGAGGAAAAACCTGAGGTCAAAGAAGCGAAGAAGAAGGAAGAAAAAGTAGAGGAGAAAGAGGAGAAAAAGAAAGTGGAAGAAAAGGTTGAGAAGAAGGGCAGTAAAAAGAAAAAGAAAGAAGCCAAGAAGAAAGCAGAGGAGAAGGATGAGGAGAAAGTGACCAAGGAGGAGACGAAAAAGGAGGAGACGAAAAAGGAGGAGGAGACATTGAAAAAGAAAGAGGAGCAAAAGGAGGAGGAGAAGGTGCAGCCGACTGTAGAGAAGAAGGAGGAAAAACAGGAGGCAAAAGAAGAAGAGAAGAAGGAGACTGCTGAGGTTAAAGACAAGGGGGCAGAGGCCGGGAAGAAAGAGGAGGAAAAAGTCGACAAGAAGGCGGCAAAGAAAAAAGAAAAAGACGACAAGGTAAAAAAGAAGGAGGAGGAGAAGGCGAAACGGAAAGCAGAGGAAGAGGAGAGGGTAAAAAAGAGAGAAGAAGAGAAAGCAAAGAAGAAAGAGGAAGAAAAAGCCAGAGAGGCCGAAAAAGCAAAGAAGAAAGAGGAGGAGAAGGCGAAAAAGAAGGAGGAGGACAAGGCGAAAGAGGAAAAGTCAAAAAAGAAGGAAGAGGAGAAAATAAAGGAGCCGAAGAAGAAAGAAGAGGAGAAAACAAAAGAGGAGCCCAAAAAGAAAGAGGAGGAGAAGGTGAAGGAGGAGGTGAAGAAGAAGGAAAAGGAGGAGGAAAAGACGGAAGAAAAGCAGAAGAAGGAAGAGGAGAAAGGAAAGAAAAAAGAGAAGGGGAAAAACAAAGGAAAGAAGGAGGCTAAAGGTTCGAGTGAGGAGCAGGTGAAAGCTCCGATCGCTGCTCCGGAGCCGGAGCTTAAAACTGAACCGGAAGTCGAACAGGCTCCTGATCAGCACTCGGTGAGCAGCGCAGAGCTTCAGGTCAGTCAGACTCCTCACAGTGTTACATTTAGCCTGTCAGGCAGAGATTTGGGAAATCTTAACTTTCTTGCCAACATACATATGAGAGGATCGATACCAACACAACAAACGTCGGTATCAAGCTGGAACCACGAGGCAGTTAGCTCAGCCTGCTCTGAGGATGGAAACAGGGAAAAATAGCTGACGTGACTTTGTCCAAAAGCGGAAAACTTCAAAAGACCTCCAAAGCCTGAAATCAATACAAAATATTTTGCTCATATAATCCAACAAAAATAAAATCATAGAGATGACAAATTGTAGTTTTGTGGGGGAATTATTGTAGGACTATATTTCAGTCATGTGCAGAAACCACCCAGTGGTCCAAAGAATCATTGCTAAAATGTAACCACACAAAAAAAAAGCAGTTTATGAGCATTTCTATTCACTGTGGACTCATTTTTCTCTGCAATATAAACACCCTGCACCTCTATAGAAACAGGACAACCCTGTTTAGAAGTAGAACAAAGTCACAACTGTATGTGCCCACGATTGTTACCAATACTTGGAACAAATGGTGGCTCTACATTTGCTAAACTACCACCTCTACACACCAGCTCTAAAAAAACCAACTATTTCACCATGCTGAATGTATCGTCCAACAACTTGCTCAGAACTTGCGCCTTTGTATTCTGTTTTTTGGACAATATCACTCAAATATGTGTTATTTTCATCACAGTCTCTCTTAATTTGTGTCCATCCTCGAGTCTTTTCTGCTCTGTGTAGACACAGCCTGCAGTCCAAGCCCGGTTTTGTCATAACTGTTAGTCACAGCGGTCTACAATGATTTATTTTCGACTTTCTCTTTCAAGTCAAACATGTAGAATAAAGTGATTTTCATGAAATATCATAATTAAAGAATAGAATGATTGGTTCACGATTAGTTCAGGAACCATCTGAAATGTTAGCCTCTCTGCATTTTACAGTCACAAGATAACGTCTCTGTCGAGCCGAGTGGCCGGTTTTGGGGTTCAGAGGGTTAAAAGATTAAACAAAGGAGATATAGCATGTTAATTAGAGAACATTAGTGGTGCTGGTAGGAAGATAAACAGACAGGATAGCTTTATTCATGGCTCTTGGCTGAAGCTTCATATTTAATGGAGTCTTATGTACCATCTCATCTTCCTCAGATTGCTGTATTTTCCAAAACAGAGGTTAAAAAAGAAGCACACAAATGGAGCACTTCTGTCTCCAAATTCTTGCTGCCGATTAGATTCTAGTGGGAGGAACCCATGTTTTTTTCTTTCTAATGAATTTTTTATGATGTGGACAGCTTGCTCAGGAAAAGCAGATTTGAGCTGAGAGCTGGCTCGGAAACAAAAATGACCCCGAAGTAAAGCTACTATCAACAGCGGAATATCTGCCATTCAATCCTAACCATACGAGTGTTGTTATTTTAACTTTGTGCATTTTTGCGTCTTTTCTTTTCATCTGCATTCGACACCCTCTGCAAAATATCCACCAGCCGGCTCAAGAGGAGAGCAAGGGAGAAGCCGAGATAAAGAAGGAGCCGGAAGCGGTGGAGGAGGTGAAGGAGGAGGACACGGAGAAGAAAACGGAAGAACCAGCAGAGCAGCAGGAGGAGGAGGAAAAGGAGGCAGTCAAAGGAGAGGAGAAAGCGACGGAGCAGGCGAAGAAAGAGAAGCCTGCCAAAGAGAAGAAGACGGAAAAGAAGACGGAAGAGGCGAAAGGCTCCAAACGGCAGAAAACCATGCAATGCAAAGTCACCTTACTGGACGACGCTCAGTTTGAGTGCGAGCTCGATGTAAGAGACCAACCACATTACAGCGTGTTGTGTTTGTGCGATGCTGTGGTTCCATATAAACTGTTCTCTTTCTCCTTTAGAAACATGCTAAAGGCCAAGAACTTCTCTCCAAGGTGTTGGACCATGTCAACCTGTTGGAGAAGGATTACTTTGGCCTTGCTAACTGGGAATCCCCGACCAACAAGGCAGGCTGCTTTTTCTATTCCTTTAGTTGTTCCTCAAGAGCAGATGTTTGATTATCGATGATTTTATTCCTACGTTTTCTTTTGCAGACGTGGTTGGAACCCACCAAAGAGATCCGGAAACAGGTTTCAGGTGCTGTCTATGAGTTTACATTCAACGTCAAGTTCTACCCTCCGGATCCAGCACAGCTTACCGAAGACCTCACCAGGTGAGTGTCTGTAGGAAGAGTTCAACGTGAGGCAAATGAGATATAATGTGTCGATTCTGGAGCTTTATAATGAACTTTTTGGCAGATTTGTTCGAGTTTGGATAGAGCTCAGCGAGTCGTTTCACCCTTATTTCCAGTCTTGATGTCAAGAGATGCAGTCTGCCTGTTTCATGACAGCTTATTTTATTTCCCTTCGCATCTTCTCCAGGTACTTTCTGTGTCTCCAGCTGAGGAAGGACATCATGCGAGGTGTCCTCCCCTGTTCCTTCGTCACACTGTCCCTGCTGGGCTCCTACACAGCCCAGTCAGAGATCGGAGAATACGACCCAGAGCTCCACGGAGCAGACTACGTTAAAGACCTGAGCCTGGCCCCCGGACAGAGCAAAGAACTGGAGGAAAAAGTGATGGAGCTGCACCGCACATACAGGTCATTAAAGGGAACGGGGCGGACCGTTGTGTGTTTGCTTGTAGACGATTTAAGCAAAACTCCCTGAACCCCCAAAACCTGGGGTTGAAAGGCATTTTATCTTTAAAAAAATAATAATTCACCCACATTACACCATTTATCTGAGCCAAAAATTGCAAAAAATAAAAGATTCACTAGATTTTAAACTTTAAACCCGACAGTCTTTAAGCCACTCATCTGTGACACGCTGTTCCACTGGAAGACTGGAAGCCAAATCAAATATTAAAATCAATTCCACATTTCTCATTTAAAGATCCACCAAAAATCAACTGAGTTCTCTCACCAGATTCTGTAAAAAACAAAAAATTCTGTGCTCGTCATTGTAACTGTGAAGTCTTTAGTGACTCAGCTGGGGCTAAAAGTCACGTAACAATAAATCAGGGAAATTTCAGCCTCAGTTGAACGGCAGGCAGCGTTTACACAGGGAAGATAGGAGCCAGGTCTCGACAAGAAATTAAAAATGTAAGTTGTAAGATGTAGTATGTGGAGTATCGGTAACGGCTGGGGGCAGTTACAAAAATGTTGTACATGTTGAGTTTAGGTTTTTAGGTTTTTTCAAAAACAAATAATCAAATAAATTTGCTTTACTGCAGCAACAATACTTTTGCATCCTCTCTACTTCTACCCATGCTTGTGGTGTTTCCATATTTATTATTTACAGATGTTTCAGTGAAAAATTAGACCACAGTGAGTTAAAAAAAAAATCTGTTTGGGATTCAGAGGGTTAAAATGATCCTGACAAGGTTCTTCTCCCTTTCTTGTGTCCAGGTCAATGAGCCCGGCCCAAGCAGACATGCTGTTTCTGGAAAATGCCAAGAAGCTTGCTATGTATGGCGTTGACCTGCATCAAGCCAAGGTAAATTATTATTATTATTATTATTATCTCAGTTTGTGCTTATGCAGGTTTTTTTTGTAATTCATGGAAAATGCCAAAGATGAAGTATGCACCAATGGCCTCACATTTTTCAATTGTTTCTCAGTATTGTTGCAGCACCGTGCCTGTATTACATCAGTAGCATCCAGATTTAATTACAAAATTGATGTCAGCCCCCTTTCAGAAACGGGGAGAGATTAATAATATTTCAGACTCCATGACCTCAAAAATACTCTCATTGTGGGAGAACGTCTGCCTCCCAGTGACCGTTTGGTGTAACTGCAGGCTGATCAGCGTTGCGTGATGACAAATCATAACTGTTTTTGACACGCAGGATCTGGACGGTGTCGACATCACGCTGGGGGTTTGCTCCAGCGGGCTGATGGTTTACAAGGACAAGCTGAGGATCAACCGCTTCCCTTGGCCCAAAGTGCTCAAGATCTCGTACAAGCGGAGCAGCTTCTTCATCAAAATCAGGCCGTCGGAGGTAAATCTCAGCTTACGCTTTAATTATCTTTCTACACTTTCCAAACCCGGTGATATCTTGGACTTATTTTGTGCTCCTGTGTTGTGTTTTCTGTTTTGAAATTAGACTTTTAATGTTGTGTTTTGTTTGTAATTCCATTGTTGCATGAGTTATTATTCTTACTTGGGTGAGAGCTGATGCTGTAAACCTGATAATTTTCAGATATGCACTTAAATGTAACTTGACAATTGATTCGAGATGGCATCAATAAAACTCATGCAAAGTGAAAATTATGTTATTTTAAATGTTTTATTTTTTTTAATGATCAACAAGAGGTCATTAAATGTCATCTTGTTTCTTCATCTTTAGCTAGAGCAGTATGAAAGCACCATCGGCTTCAAGCTGCCCAACTACAAGGCCTCGAAGAAGCTGTGGAAAGTTTGTGTCGAGCATCACACCTTCTTCAGGTAAAGACGGGTCGCTCTTCCCCGATTCTGAATGACGCTTCCCTGCCTGACAACAGAGGTCATCCTCAGGTTCTGCCTATCCCCTGGATAATTGGCTAACTGTTCGCTGCAGCTTAAGCTCTATATTGGCTCCCCGGCAGTTTAACCACACTGTGAGAGCTTCATACCTGTGGTCCTGACCTTAGAATTAAACCTTAAAGGTTTTTATCTGCTTAATAAGATAAAGGTGCTGCTGGCCTCGTTACATCACGGCGTCAATTTCTCTCTGGCAGTGTGCGATTAATAATTTTGAAACGCCGGCTTTAAAGAAGTGGTTGAATGAACTAAATGATGATTGTGTTTGTCGCTCAGGGTTTCGACGGTGGAGCCTCCCTCGTCGCGTCGCTTCCTCGTCTTGGGCTCCAAGTTCCGATACAGCGGTCGCACTCAGGCCCAGACCCGCCAGGCGAGCTCCATGATCGACCGCCCGGCCCCTCGCTTCACGCGCTCCGCAAGCAAAAGGCTGTCTCGCAACCTAGATGGAGGTACGTGCGACCGAGTGTGTCGAAAGCATCGTACGTATCTCGCAGTAAAACCCTTGCAGGTTCGATAAGCTGCTCTCCGGCTTGTGTTGCTCTCGCAGCTGGAGATGACACTCTCCAGTTTCTGCAGCAGCTCTCTGCGCCGATCAGGTCTGAGGTGGACGACTGGTCGCTGTTGATGGCGTCGGACACACCTCAGCCTTCTCTTGATCTCTCAGGTACCGGGGAATGTGCTGAGCGCCACCGAACGCCATTTGGCACATTTGCAGCTTGCTCGTCGCTAACGGACTAATCGCGTCATTTAACATGCTTTTCCATTGACAGTCATCTGCTTTCATGCACTTAAGCCTTGAAAATATGACTTTAACTTGTCAGGAAGGTGACCTACCCTGACGCATGGGTCGTGACTCCGACCTTGTACTTTCCCTGACATGATTTCAGGGTTCTTTGGTCACCCTGAACTCACAAAACAAGTTTCCTCACGTGCTTAACTACAAGCTGGCATTTCCACTCTTGAGGCAGCTGTTCCTCATTTTTCTGGCCTTATCATGAGTTTGTTGTTGATGTGTGTTGCACAACAGCTTTCATCTGCTGGTTGCTCTTAACTGACTGACTCACTTTCCATCACTGCTCCTGTCATCAAAACAGGCAGAACTTTATACGCTGAAAAACAATCGCCACTTTTGTCGTTGTCATCTGTTCTTGTTGTAAAATATACGAGGCATCTTCCATTCATTTTTGCACTAACCTCGTCGTACCGGACTCGCAATAGTCTGGTGCAAATGCTTGGCATCTGGCTTCGTAAAAAAACACGCTTGAAGCGCTGCGAAGCTTTCGCAGCGGTCGCCATCTCTCCAGCTGAACCGTTACATAACTGCCATCACCTCATCATCTCTTCACAGCCAGAGGGGAGTCTGAGCAGACTTTCACTCAGTCCTGGGAGGAGGGACAGTCTGTTCGCACAGTCACAGTAACCTGGCAGAGCGCCGAGGCTGGGAACACGAGCTCTCAAACCCAGACAGTCAGTCAGCCGTGGCAGGAGCTGGCAGCTGATGGGCAGCAGCAGCAGCAGATGAGAAAGGAAGACGAGTGGTCTGCCCTGCTGCATCGACATCCGGCTTTTCCCTTTGTCCCTCCTTTTGATTTTGTGAAACAGCCAGGTATCGACGCTTGTAACTCCTGCTCATGTACATCCACGTTTTTTATTATATTCCATTCATGCATAATTTGGCAGCTTGCTACGTGGGATCCAGAATTTGGATTCTGTTCTGATACTTTGAGTCAGAATGTTTTTTGTGTGACCAGTCTGCACAACACTGTCCACTGTGACACCAGGCACTTGGCTCTATTTTGCCATCAGTTTGCACTTTAAGATTTGTGGGAGTTTGTTTATCCGGTGAAAAAAAAATGTGCCATATTGTTTCTCTGATGTCGTCAGCTAAACTCAGCTTGGTTAAAATGAGCTCTATGGACCGGCTGCTGCAACCTGCGCCGACTCAGCAAGATGATTGGTTCCTGTACGTTGATCGAAGCTTCCGTTTACCTTCACCTGAGGGCATTGACAGACTTCCATGTGAGTGTGAGAATGTGAAAGAAACTCCTTTATCATTCTGCAATATTTCAACACCTTTCATTGTTCATTATGTCCCGTTCCCAGTCTCTCCTGTAGCCCAGTTCCAGCTCCAGAAGGAGGAGCAGGTCATGTCTGGAGCAGAACAGGAACTGACCACTAAGGAGGTCACTGAGAGCATGCAGGAGACGGTGATCTTGGCAGACAAGCTGAACGAGGCTGTTGTTTTGGAAGGGAAGCTGAAGGAAGTGAGGAACTTAGAGGAAAGACTCGAAGTAATGGACGAGATGGCAGTTCGACTTCAGGCAGCTATAGAGAAAGAACTGGGGAAGGAAGAGGTAGAAAAGTTAAGACAAGAAGAGAGGGAACTAGAGCAGCAAAAACAAACCAAACGTGTGACACAAACAGTGGTGAGGACATCCGTGAGGAAGATAGGGACGGAGGAGGAGGGTGAGGTGGATGAACTGGAAGATCAAATTAAGGAGGTGTTTTTGAAAGGCTTGTTGGATGAAGGGGAGGAAGAGGGAGATGTGGAGCAGGAGCAACAAACCAAACGTGTGACACAAACAGTGGTGAGGACATCCGTGAGGAAGATAGGGACGGAGGAGGGCACGGGGGATGAACTGAAAGATCAATTAAAAGGGGTGCTTCTAAAAGGCTTGTTGGACGAAGAGGAGGAAGAGGGAGAAAAGCTAAGACAGGAAGAGGGAGATGTGGAGCAGGAGCAACAAACCAAACGTGTGACACAAACAGTGGTGAGGAAATCTGTGAGGAAGATAGGGACGGAGGAGGGCGCGGGGGATGAACTGAAAGATCAATTAAAAGGAGTGTTTCTAGAAGGCTTGTTAGACGAAGAGGAGGAAGGGGTCGTGGTGAGGCAGGAGAGGGAACAAGAGGTGACGGGAGATGAGGGTTTGTTGGATGAGAGTTTCAGAGAGAAGCTACGCCAGATAGAAAAGGAATGGCAAGACGAGGTGGAGGAGAAGTTCGGCTCTCCAGATGTCGTCGGTGCGACTTCGGTAGTAGCGTACCAGAAGGTGGAGCGTAAGGTTAAGAAGAGGGTGACTATCGTAGATGAGAGAGAGCAGCAAGATGTGCAGCTGCAGTCTGGTGGAACATCAGAGGAGAGGTTAGAAAAACAGGACTTGTGGCGTAAGACGGACTCCGTTTTGGAGAGGACGCTGAAAGAGGCTACGGAGACGTTTCAGACACCAGAAGTTGAGGATCCGTGGTTCGTACTTTTTGACCGCGCTCCATACAAGGCTGCTTTCAAACCACCAGGTACAGTATGTGCAAACGGTGTTGGACTTCTACTAATCTCTCTAATGTTCTAACAAGAGACAGAGAAACGGAGATCATCATATGGCAAAATGTTAACATGATAACCAACTACTCTTCTTGGTTTTTTTTTTCTTGGATTGGCGCTTGTGTTTGCTGCTACAATGAGGTGTCAAGCTGCAGCGTTGCTCGTCTTAGTAGCATTAAAACTCGGATTAGGTTTCTTGCGAGTGAGAATAACCTCTTATGCTCTGGCCTGCTTGTCTTACAATAAGCTTTCTGGTACTGCATGTTCAAATCATCTGTCTTTTCATTCCCATAATTCTAGTAGTTACCACCGTGCAGCCCGCTCAGGTGGATGAGGGCGAGTATTTCACTTCAAAGACTGAGATTGCAACTCTTGAGGCCAAAACTGAGATTATAGTAGAGGAGAAGCAAATAAGAGAAGAGGAAGTGTTGCGTGCACCAGAGATCCAACAACCCCAGAGCATCACCGAAAGGGTGGATGACTGGTGTATGCTGCTGGATGTTTTACCCAGAGAAACAACTTATGTAGCACCAGGTACCGCTTCAACACAACTTTGGCTCTCTCGTGCTGTATTTTGTGCTTACTTGCTTATAACAGATATGATAAAAAATACTTTTTCCTGACTTTAGTTGCATCGAAGGATAAAACCCAGATAGATGAAGAAAGTTTTGTCTCTGTGGCTGCAACTGCGGAAGTTGAAGAGAGTAAAGAAGTAGTGATTGAAGAGAGGAAAATAATCGAAGAGCCACCGAGATATCTACAAGAAATCCCAACACAACCGGTGGCAGAACGAGACGATGACTGGTCTGTGTTACTGGATGTCCTTCCCAGAGAAACAACATATGTACCACCAGGTATTGGCAAAAATCCCCTGAACTGCAAGCAAGCAGTTATCCTGAGACTTGCAAACATACTTTTCCCCCAAAGCCCTTGTACGATCCATAGTTTCTATCTCTTTTGTCTCAGTTGTTGCAGAGCAGGTGTCTTCAGAAGATCGTGTCTCTGTGATTGAAGTAACAGCTGTTCAGCGGAGAGAAAAACAAGTGGAGATTGTTGTAGAAGAGACTGAAATGAAAGAGAGAGAAAAACAAGTAGCAGCACCACTGCAGGATGTGAAAGAGAGAGACGATGACTGGTTTGTGCTGCTGGATGTTCCTATTCAAGAACCGTCCTTTGAGCCTTCAGGTATTGCAGATTTTTCCTCATGTTCCTTCTAATTCTCTCGATCAAGACTTGTCTTTTTTGGCTCGTGTCTTACAGCGCTCCTTCCTTCTGTTTGTCTTTAGTTTCCATGACCAAGTATGTTGAGCTCTATGAAAGAGAAAGCATTTCTGAGTCCACAAGAGAGGTTGTTATCGAAGAGATTGCGGTGCAGAAAAAGGATGTGAAGCCTCCCAAACAAGTTATTCCAGAGCAGAAAATCGTCCAGCCAGTGAGTGAGAGAGAGGACAATTGGTTTCTGCTGCTGGATGTTGTTGCCAAAGAGACTTCCTATGTGCCTCCAGGTACCTGCAAAAGTCTACATCATCTTAATTAAGAAGGTTATCTTGACCAAAGTTGAGGTATACATTTTTGTTTTTCAGTTTCTGGGCCTCTACCAACTAAAGTCTATCCAGATATTCCAATTGAAGTGAAAACTGTAGAGCAGAAGTTTCAGATTGATCTCGACCAGACGAGACCACAAGTTTCCCAGCCACTGCCAGAGAGAGACGATGACTGGTGTGTTCTGTTTGATGCTGTTCGTGAAAAGGCAGTCATAAAGCCAACAGGTACACGATTAATATATGTGATTTTAAGACATTCATGTGTTCAACTTGCTTTGAGGACTAAACGCCTCTCGGGAAATAGCTTCACTCAGCTTCTTTGACTCTCTGTTTGTGCCAGTTACTCCAGTTGAGATTATTGTGGATGCGAAGAAGACGTTCGAGGTTGAGGTGACAACCGCAGAGACTAGAACGTGGCAGAAGACGATAATTGGTGTGGACAGCAGGCAAGACGTGGCACGTCTGTCTGAAATTAGACCGAGCCAAATTGCACCACCATCAGAGAGACGAGGAGGAGATGATTGGTTTATCCAGTTCGACGTTATCCGCGAAAAGCCTGTTGTCGTGCCACCAGGTACCTCCCGTTGCCAAAACGTCTGGAAACACTGTACTTAAAAGTTGACGTCAGATTTGTTTACCTTTTATGTTTCTGTGTCAGTCGCTGTGGTTAGGCGCGTTGTTGACGTCGTGGTACCTGCTGAACCGAAACCGAAATTCGTCATGGAGGATGTGAGGCTGCCTGTGAAGGCGGTGGAAGTGAAACCGCAGCAGTCAAGAAAAGTGGATGACGACTGGTTTGCGCTGCTGGATGTCGCAGCTAAAGCGCCAGGTATTCTGCTGTTTTGTTTGGCTGTTGCTAAACAATTATGACTCATACAGGGCTGCACAATACTGGAGGAAACTGATCTTGACATGAAAAAGTACAGTAATTTTTTTTTACCAGATGGCTTGAATAATTCTATCGGGAAAGATTTAATCATTCTAAAGTGATTGGGGCTGCGAGTTTATGGAATAAAATGATAGTCACAGTTTTATTTTAATCAATATCGATAATGCAATAAACCTATTTATCGTTAATGTGTATTGATTTTGTAGATAGAATGTTTTTATTGCGGTCAGAACACTGCTTTGGCGTCCGTGCTGCATTTCTGATAATCTACAAATCTGCATCAAAATAGACTTAAAATAAGGATCCACTTCCCTCGGATTCATTCCATTTCACGAAACAGCTCACTCGCTGAACATCTATGTATTAATACATTCAGGCTAAGGTAGAAACTAGCAGGGCGACTGTGCACAGAGAAGGTGGTTCACCAAACCTTACTTTGAAACAAGTGGAAAGAAGGTGTTCTAATGTCAGAAATACCCAAGTTGAAACCAAAGCAATAGTCTGTGAATCCCAGAACCTTTAAATTGAAGTAAATTCTGTCTTAATATCTGGACTTTTCCTCTAAATTTGTCAGGGACAATAAGAACTGTTTCCTTTGGTTACAAAAAAAAGTTGTAGCATGATGTGTTTAAGTTAGTTCGCCTTATCTTGTAATGCATAAACATTACATCATGCATATTTTACCTTCTACACTAACACCGAGAGCAGTATACCAAACTTAGATTAGTACAAGATCTGAAGGACCCTGTTGGGAAAAAGACAGGAGAATAGTGATTTAGGTTTAGCCAGCAGTAGCTTAAAACTTTTAATGTCACAACCTTTGTTTTATTCTTAGTTTGACAGAATAATTTTCCTTTCTGCGAATGACGGAGCCTCATTTTAGTTTGTCTTTGTGTGCATCCTGCATCAGTTGCTGTGGACCAACGTGTCCGAATGTATCCTGAAGTAAGACCAGCTAAAGAGTTTGCAGTCAGAGAGCAGAGAGTACAACAGAGGGTCACTATAGTGACGGAGATAAGGCAGCAGGAGTATGACGTGCAGCAGAAACCAGCAGTGAGAGAGGTGGATGATGACTGGTTTGTTCTTCTGGATGGGGCTCCTAAGAAATCAGGTATAATCCAAAGAGAACTCCATCCAGCTATACATGCTGACATTTATTGTTGAGTTTGTCACCTTGGATTTATTTAGGGCAACGTATTCCATAATGGTTTGTACTTCATTTCCACAATAATGTTGTGTATTTGTATTAGTTGCTGTCGCAGAGCGTATCCAGTTCCCGGCAGCGGTCAGAGCTCCGACTGCTGCGGCCACAAAGCGGGTCGTTATTTCTGAGACGCGACCGCAGTTTGAGAAACGGATCCTGGAGGAGAGACGTCCCGTCACGCGTACACATGTCAACGATGATTGGTTTGTTCTGCTCGATGTTGCCCTCAAAGAGTCAGGTATTTTGTTTTCTTTAGGGTTTTGTTTTTGCAGATCAACAGCTCACTCATGCTTTCTTCGCTTCATGAAACTAACATTTGCAACCCGGACACGTCTCTTTATGAAAGGACCTCTGACTGCGGTTTGCAGAGTCTCAGCGCTTCACCACTTCATTCAGCTTTGTAGCATTTTGCTGCCTAACATCATCTGCCTTTTGAGTTCATCGTTGGATTGATCTAAAAATGCGCTTTTACTTACTTTGTGGACATTCGCTTCTGGCTACGTTCTCACCGCGTGCTTGTCTTTTTGAAAAAAAAGAGTAAAGGAAACAGATAAGGTACAGTATGCTCTTGCAGCATTTGCGTTTTCTGATCACATCCAGGCTGGAATGCTGTAAGTATGACATGGCTGTTTGCATTAATACGCTGTTTCAGAGGGCATCTTACTCACACAGACTGTTTAATTGTGCATGTTTCACTATATTCATCGCCATCCTTTCTGCATTTTGTCTAGTTGTGAGCACGCAGAGGGGCACTCGTCCCGTCAGCGCTCCCGTCTTCTCCCATGCCGCCCTGATGGAGGCGGGGATCCCCATGTCGGTCCTGGAGCAGCCTCAGACCTCCACCCCGATCAAGACCAGCATGGAGGAGAGGAAACTGGAGGTCACCGTAGAAGCTGTGGAGCCTTCGAAGATCGACGCTGAGGGCAAGGTATTGAACTTCGCACTCGTTTGATCGCACAAACCTGAAGTTGATGTAGCATTATGCAACAGGACAGCTGGTGCCAGTGAAAGGAATTATTCATGATGTGTCCTTCTAGTGATTTCTTGGCTGTGTGATTGATACACATGTAAAGTCTTTTAAATGCTTCATGGTTCTTTAAATAATGAAAGATGCCAAAGTAGCGAGCAGAGGTTTCTCTCTGTTATCTTGAGTGTGAACTGTGTCTCTCTTGCTGCTGTAGCCAGCAGCGTGGAGGGAGCAGAGAGACTCTTCACTGATATCCACCGTCAATGGGGACATCCAGGTTAGTGTCGGACTCAGGCTTCTTTTCTCATGTCGTCCTTCGGAAGACATGTTTTTTTTTTTTTTTTTCTACTGCGGTGTTGAAAGCCAAGAATCAAAGGATGCTAACTTGTGTCCCCCTCTCTCCTCCTCCCCCGCCCCCCCTGGGGTAGCACGAGGTGACGAGCTCGGAGGTGGTGCGAATGCGAAAGGTCAGATTCTTTAGCGTCGTTACATGTTTTACGGTTTCTCCACCTCCATTCTGATGACTGTAGAGCTTCTCATCCGAAAGACTAATTCCACCCCTCTTGTCATGTTGTGCTTCCGTACGACTAGGTCTAAAAATGAAATCTACATCAGGTTCGATGCACATACAGTATATTGTAAGAGGTAGAAAATACGTAATAATGGATAGAATGTGTAAACAGTGTTAACAGAATACCGTAACTCGTAGTATGACGAGAGTATGCTTGCCTCAGTACATGTTTTAAACGTTTCCAGGGCATTCATTTCTTCTCATTGCTTGCTGTTGTAAACACCGGAATGCACACATGCATGATTATAGATTAAATGCACTCGACTAAATGGGGCATGAAAACTGGTGTTGTGTCACATTGTCGTCACTCCATCGTTCTTTTATTTCTTTTCTCATTAGAAGAATAGAAACTCCAGAGCCGTATATTCTTTTGCTGTCTTAGCGTAGTTCAGTTCTTGGGCCCCTTACGGTCACTCGGGCCCCAGATGACTTTGCATGAACTCCTCACAACTCTTTCTGTCTGTTGTGTATTAACACTTTTTTCTTAGTGTGCATGACCGAAGGTGTGATGCCAGCGTACGAGGGAAACTGAAACAAACCCACACTTCTTTTCTTTTTTGTTCTTTTCATTCTTCACAGAAAAGAGCTAAGAAAATTGAGGGTGACTCAATTTATATCAGACATAGCCTTTTAATGTTGGAGGTTGGTATCCCTTCCGGAGGCGTCGCTCTCCGGCTGTATTTTCTTGCTCTTTGGCACACTGGCTGCTAATAAAATCACGCTTGCATGTGGCATGATTCACACTTTTTTTTTTTTTGCACCAGCATTTAATTCACGGCTGTAGACTACATGATAAGTGTGTGTGTGTGTGTGTGTGTGTGTGGCAACATAACTCTTATTCGGTTGATTCAGGAGAGTGCTGTTGAACCTATAACAAAAAAAAAGGGTGGTCAGGATTCTTAAATTCTTATATTGGTGCACACAGACTTGTTAAGGATGCTGCACTCCAGATCATTCTTAACCCTCTGAACCCCAGGCAGTTTCTGAGCAGTTTTATGTTTGCTCCTGTTTTATTTTTGCCACTGCAATAAATAGTCCTGTAGTCGTTATGGGGAAACAGCACGGCCATAGCTAGAGGTAGACAGAATTTATAGATATTTCTTGTTCAGTATAATAAATTTACAGTGCTTAAAGTCATTTTTTAAAAAAAATTTAAAAACTGGAATCATCATGTAGTGGGAAAATAAGGTTGCTCTCCATAGTATAGATATTTTACTACGTACACTTTTAATTGTTCAATTGGACATGCAACATAATGCAATATCTATCTATCTATCTATCTATCTATCTATCTATCTATCTATCTATCTATCTATCTATCTATCTATCTATCTATCTATCTATCTATCTATC